CTGAGGTACACCACTTGTGACGAGTGCTGCCACCTACTTTGACGTAGAAGTTCCTGTTTGTGACGAAGTCTCTCAGCCATGTGTGTATTTGTCCCGTTGTATCGAACGCCTCTATTTTGACTAACAGCAGGCGTTGATTGACTGAATCAAACGCCTTATTGAAGTCAAGATAACACACATCTACTCTGTGTCCCTCGTCCAATCTTCTGGTAACTTCGTCCAAGAAGCACAGCAGATTAGTCAAACAGGATCTACCTTTGAGAAACCCGTGTTGAAGTGTACACAGCATAGAGTGCTGCGTTAGGTGCTGGCATATATGGGTGCGAATAATCTTTTCTAGCACCTTACACAAGATACTAGTTAGACTAACTAGCCTGTAGTTACCTAACTCTGTTCGGGCTCCCCCCTTATGTATGGCTACCACCGCTGCTACCTTCCACTCCCTCGGTAGGACACCCTGATCTAATGAAGCTTTGAATAACTTAAACACCGGTCCTGCAAGGATGTCAGCTATGGGCTTGATTATAGCAGGGTGGATCTCTTCTGGTCTAGCCGCTTTATGAACGTCTAGGCCTTCCGAGTGCTGCCGCACTATCTCTTCCGATAATTGAAGCTCCCCGATTTCTGGCGGGGATGTTCCTAACTCCAAAGTTCTCGGCATACTGTCATCTATTCGGTGCACACTGCCAAAATATCCAGCCAATCCATCTGCCTTACCCTTGTCGTTCATTACGACTGATGCAGCACCTATATTTAATGGTTCTATACCCTCTCTCAGTGCTGCTTTGGACTGAACGTAGCTATAGCGTTTCTTTTTTTGATTTTGGCGCATTTGGCCAGTTGGAGCTCATGTTGCCGTTTTGCTTTTCGCGTTAGCCTAACCGCCTAATTTCTACACCTTTTATACCTGACCCTGTTGAGTTCCGGAAGCTCTAAAGTTCTTCCAGTACCTATTCCGTTGCTTGATGGTCCTGGCTATGGTTGCTCTCCACCACAGCGACTTGTTGCCACGTTGGCTGGGTCTCAGTGGAGCAAATTCATTTTGTAGATATACGAGGACCTCCTTAATGAACATCCAATGCTCTTCTACACTGAACTCTTCCGGAGCCTCTCTAACCAAATCCGATGCCCTGTTTCTAAGATTCCCTAGATCCATACATTCGAAATTTCTAATGAGCTTGGTTGGTTCCCTAGCTTGTCGCATACACACTTTGATCGATAAGATGACGTGGTTGCTTTTGCCAAGCGGTGGGTGCGACTGTAGCGCCATGGTATCATTTTTGTGTGTGGTGATCACTAGATTCAGCTGGGACGGAGCATTACCTGACCTGAATTTAGTGCTTTCCTTAACATGCTGCCATAGGGCGTTTTCATGCAGCCATTTGATATAGCCTTCTTCTGCTGTTCCTCGGGTGCATACCTCAAACCTACAGTCTATTTGTGGTAGGTTGAAGTCCCCAACAATGATAGCTTTGTTCGCCTCCTTTACTANTCAGAATTGCCACTCATCCTCCTGCATACACCTGATTTCGGTCCTGCTGGTAGACAGATAACGACTCCTGAACTGTCTGTGGTATATGATCTGTATCACTTACCCATGTTTCTGTGATTGCCACTACAGACACCTTCTGTACCCAGGCTATCTGAGACAATTCTGCCCATTTATTCCTAAGACCGCATGCGTTGGTGTACAGCATGAACATGCTGTCCTCCATTCCTATGCGTTTCCCAAAGATGCTTCTTGCTTGGGCCTCGGGCGCAGCACCTGAGGAGACAGCAAGTTTTTTCCGCGGTATTTGTAGTCTGCGGGTCTCTTTGGTGAGCTACCTCAGTCGGTGGTTCTTTGCTTAGCCTTAGTGAAGCCTCTTCGTCTGCGTTGTCTTCTTGCAGGCAACTCTGTCAGGTCAGGTCGGGTCACAGGACTTGCGGTTGATGCCAATTTGATCCAGGTTCATGCACCGTGAGCGTAACGTTCGGCTACGTATGATTTGACAACAGAGAATCCTTTACGAGCCGCTTTGTGGGCCCCTTGCTGCCGACTTGGGCAAGCTTTCCGGATCAGCTGGTACTTTCGCAGCTGGTATAGTGCAATGCAGATAAGTGTGACCATTGGGCCTAACCTTGCACCCGTGTAATACTTCAGGACTTCAAGGCCCTGCGACCGAGGATTCGCCGGAATT